AATCAATATCACATTAAACATCCAGTGGGGAGACATCATCAATCATCTCGATGTCTCCACACGCACCGTCTTGTCCAATTCTCAACTTATCCTCATTTTGTTAAGGCAATTTTCTTTCGCTATTCCTGTAGTCAGCTTTCTAACGCTAGCTGTGAAATTACAAATATTTTCTATATTTTTTAGCTGTGTTAGACAAAGTTTGGTTATTTTATGGTGGGCTAGCTTAAAATAACTTAGGCTCGTTTAGATTAGATAAAGTAAATATAACCTCAAATAAGTAGCTGAGACTGGATAACAGCTCTAATCCTATAAATTCAACAACGGGAAAAAAATATGAATAACTCGTCAATAATACCTGCAAATTTTTCTATATCAATATGTCTAACAATTTTACCCAAACGTTGAGCACACCAATCAATAGGAACATAAAAAAGCTAAATTAAAACACGCTTTCTTGTCCGTTCCTTTAAGAGATTTAGGAACCAAAGGCCGCCAACTTTCTATTAGTTTCACGGAGACACTCGGCAGCTGCCTCCCAAACTTGGGTGATTTATGTCGCTTCTTGTGCCTTTCTGTGTCTCTGGCCTGGCCAATGGACCGCGTCGATCTGCCTTACTGTTGCGGTCCTCTTTGCATGAGTGAGTCCTCCTGGTCTTCGCTGCTGGAATCCCTTTACATAGCTGAATCCACACTGCTACGTACAGCACGGTTGTTCTGTGTGCTTATATATGGCAGGAGCGGAGCATCAGTATAGAGTAGCAATATACAAATAACCCGCATACTGAAGTGAGAAGCTTATGACGAGTTTCGGTCAGATTTGGATAATTTACGAGTCACAGTCACACACTTCTACTACTAGCATCAGAACTACCACTACTTTTTTCTTACTCTCTTTGACCCTTCCTTGACCCCCTCGCCTATTTATACACTGGTCCTCACTCTCGTGTGTTAGTGTGACTCGCAAAGAGCCCAGGTCGGACCGAAGCGTCGTTATAAGCTTTTCTCTCTCCTATTTGCGGGTTATTTGTGTTTTGTTCCAGTCACGGTATTGTGCCTTTGTTCCAGTCACGGTATTGTGCCTTTGTTCCAGTCACGGTAGCTTGCCTTTGTTCCAGTCACGGTATTGTGCCTTTGTTCCAGTCACGATAGTGTGCCTTTGTTCCAGTCATGGTATTGTGCCTTTGATTCAGTCACAGTAGTGTGGCCTTTGTTCCAGTCCCCTATTGTCCTTTGTTCCAGTCACGTAGTGTGCCTTTGTTCCAGTCACGTTATTGTTGCCTTTGTTCAGTCACCGTAGTGTGCTTTGTGTCCAGTCACGGTATTGTGCCTTTGTTCCAGTCCGGTATTGTGCCTTGTTCCAGTCACGGTATTGTGCCTTTGTTCCAGTCACTGTAGTGTGCCTTTGTTCCAGTCACGGCATTGTGCCTTTGTTCCAGTCACCGTAGTGTGCCTTTGTTCCAGTCACGGTATTGTGCCTTTGTTCCAGTCACGGTAGTGTGCCTTTGTTCCAGTCACGGTAGTGTGCCTTTGTTCCAGTCACGGTATTGTGCCTTTGTTCCAGTCACCGTAGTGTGCCTTTGTTCCAGTCACGGTATTGTGCCTTTGTTCCAGTCACGTAGTGTGCCTTTGTTCCAGTCACCGGTATTGTGCCTTTGTTCCAGTCACGGTATGTGCCTTTGTTCCAGTCACCGTAGTGTGCCTTTGTTCCAGTCACGGTATTGGGCCTTTGTTCCAGTCACGGTATTGTGCCTTTGTTCCAGTCACCGTAGTGTGCCTTTGTTCCAGTCATGGTATTGTGCCTTTGTTCCAGTCACGGTATTGTGCCTTTTTGTTCATGAGAGAGTAGCAAGCTGGCACCTCAGAATGCAAGTAGACCTTATTTACCCCTGTGACTCGGACAGCTACAGGAGGAGGCGCTGTTGTTATTGTATTCGTGAGGGATAAAATCTATTTAATGAACCAATAATGACGAATTTTAAGTCATGCGTCTGGTAGCGCGGGGAGGCTTGTAAAATCTCATGCGTGCTTTTCCATACGAAATGTAAAAAGAAATTGAAGGATGAGCTAAATTATTGAGAAATCTGAGCTTGTATTGATTGCAGTGATGGGAACATTGGAATGAAGGGAACATTGTAGTGAAGGGAACATTGTAGTGAAGGGAACATTGCAGTGATGGGAACATTGGAGTGAAGGGAACATTGTAGTGAAGGGAACATTGCAGTGAAGGGAACATTACAGTAAAGTGAACATTACAGTAAAGTGAACATACAATGAAGGGAACATTACAGTAAAGTGAACATTAAAATGAAGGGAACATTACAGTAAAGTGAACATACAATGAAGGGAACATTACAGAAAAGGAACATTACAGTGAAGGGAACATTACAGAAAAGGAACATTACAGTGAAGGGAACATGCCAGTGAAGGGAACATTATAGTGAAGGGAACATTATAGTGAAGGGAACATTATAGTGAAGGGAACATTATAGTGAAGGGAACATTACAGTAAAAGGAATATTACAGTGAAGGGAGCATTACAGTAACGGGAACATTACAGTAAAGGGAATATTACAGTGAAGGGAATATTACAGTGAAGGGAATATTACAGTGAAGGGAACACTAAAGTGAAGGTAACTTTACATTAATAGCATCTTAGTTATCAACAATAAAAAAAAACATCAACAATTACATTTTCGCTACATTACCTTCACGACGATCACTTCAGTGTTATTGCTATATGTTCAAGGAAAGGTGCTAAACCCTCAAGGGCCATACAGCGCATATGGAATGGGAAGTAATGAAATCTGATCCCCCCAAAATTGGAAGACAATTTCGGTTAAGTGGTTCAACAGACCATCAATAGCATCATTTCTCTCCAATTAATAGGATAGAGCTTTATTAAATCATGGCTTGATAAAGCTCTACATAGAGCGTAACGATACCTCAGAAAAAGTTTTTTTCTCAGTGATTTGTATTTTCTTCTCCATTGTCGGGTGTATGCTATTGGGATGCAGCCTAGAAACTGATCGTTGATTCTTATGTACGTTTAATGGGGTGGTAACGGTGGCTGTGTGCTGATTTCTGATGGTTGTTCGAGGCTATTGTGCTTTGTTGAATGCAATTTGTTCTTTTTATTGGGTGTATGTGTGTGTGTGTGTGTGTGTGTGTGTGTGTGTGTGTGTGTGTGTGTGTGTGTGTGTGTGTTGGTTCACCTATTTGTACTCACTTATTTGTGGTTGCAGGGGTCGAGACTCAGTTCCTGGCGCCGCCTCTTCACTGATCACTACTATCTTCTCACTCTCCCTGCTCCATGAGCTTTATCATACCTCGTCTTAAAGCTATGTATGGTTTCTGCCTTCTCTACATCAATTGCCAGACTATTCATCTTCCTGACAATTCTATGACTGATGAAATACTTCCTGACATCCTTTTTGATTCATCTGAGTCTTCAGTTTCCAATTGTGACCCCTTGTTTCTGTGTCCCCTCTCTGGAACATCCTGTCTCTGTCCATCTTATCTATTCCTCGCGGTATTTTGTATGTTGTTATCATGCCTCCCCTAACCCTCGTGTCCTCAAGTGTCGTCAGACCGATTGTGTGTGTGTGTGTGTGTGTGTGTGTGTGTGTGTGTGTGTGTGTGTGTGTGTGTGTGTGTGTGTGTGTGTGTGTGTGTGTGTGTGTACTCACCTAATTGTGGTTGCAGAGGTCGAGACACAGCTCCTGGCCCCGCCTCTTCACTGGTCGTTACTAGGTCCTCTCTCTGCTTCCAGAGCTTTGTCATACCTCGTCTTAAAGCTATATATGGTTCCTGCCTCCACACATCACTTGTTAGGCTATTCCACTTCCTGACGACTCTCTGAAGAAATACTTCCTAACATCCCTATGACTCGTCTGAATTTTTCAGCTTCCAATTGTGACCCCTTGTTTCTTTGTCCCCTCTCTGGAACAACCTGTCTCTGTCTACCTAATCTATTCCACGCAGTATTTTGTATGTCGTTATCATGTCTCCCCTGATCCGCCTGTCCTCCAATGTCGTCAGTCCAATTTCCCTCAACCTTTCTTCGTAGGACATACCCCTGAGCTCCGGAACTAGCCTTGTTGCAAATCTTTGCACTTTCTCTAATTTCATGACGTGTTTGCCCAGGTGTGGGTTCCAAACTGGTGCTGCATACTCCAGTATGGGCCTGATGTACACAGTGTACAGTGTCTTGAACGATTCCTTACTAAGGTATCGGAACGCTATTCTCAGGTTTGCCAGGCGCCCGTATGCTGCAGCAGTTATCTGGTTGATGTGTGTGTGTGTGTGTGTGTGTGTGTGTGAACATATGTAAGCGTGCATGCACATACGTACGTATGCGCGAGTCTTTTAAACGCTCTTTAATATCTACTTTAAAAAACATTACCGGTTACATTTACACATTAAAAAAAATCTTTGTGCTCCAATGAACTAATATGAAAAAAAACATAATTGTTTTGATAATTATTTTAATTACTGTCGACATGATATTGCATTACACATTCCAATTTGCGAGCATTGTCAGAGGCACAAATGAGAGACAAATATTTCCGTGGCAGCGGCTTTGTTGACACTGTCCAGCCCACGAGAACGCTGACGGATTCATTTGTTTGTCTTGCTCAATAATACGCATTTCGTTTCGGATACTGTGTCAAAACGAAGGGTAGAGGAATATTTGTACTTGTGCTATTTCACGGAGTAAAGAAGTTATAATATATATATATATATATATATATATATATATATATATATATATATATATATATATATATATATATATATATATATATATTATATACACAAAAAGTAATGCAGAAGGCGGATTCTAATGTTTTTATTATTGTTTCAGCACTGAAAAGGAATAGATCAATAGAATTAGCGTGCAATACTTTTGTATCTTGACTGCTGATGTCCAAGTATTGCATATGTGTGTACTATTTGTGTCTGCTACACGCTAATCTCTGTGTCTCTGCCTGCAGACGACAGTGGCTGGCAACGTGAGTGTGAGCACAGTCAGCCTGACACCTGAACCTGGTGATCACGGTGTTCCGCTTGTGTGTAAGGCATACAGTCCCAACCTGCCTGGTTCTGTACTCCACGACCAGATCACCCTCGCTGTCCACTGTGAGTCCTCAAGGTGATTTGGGATTGTGTGTAGTGGCGGTGATGGTGGTAATAGTGGTAGTGGTGGTGGTAACAGTGATGGCGGTGGTGATGGTGGCAATAAGAATGGCGGTAGTCGTGATGGTGGTGATAGTAATGGTGGTAGTGATGATGGTGGCAACAGTGACGGTGGTAGTGATGGTGATAGTGGTGGTGAAAATTGTGATGGTGGTAGAGTGGTAATAGTGGTCGTGGTGACAGCAGTGATGTTGATAGTGGTCGTGTTGGCAGCAGTGATGGTGGTAGTGGCGGTAGTAGTATTAGAGGTGGCAACAGTGATGATGGTAGTGATGGTGGCAGTGATGGAGGGTGAATGGTGATGGAAATATTATTAGAGGTGGTGGCAGGGGAGGCAGATTTGGGTGATGGAAGATTGAATGATGGCGTTGGAAGGGTTCTGAGGGGAAAAGAGGGGTTAGTGGTGGAGGATGAGATGAGGGAGACCTTTTTGTGATGACTGTGGTGGGGGATGAGGGGTGGTAAAGTGCCGGCAAAGTGGTGGTGCTGGTGGAAGTGCTGTTGATGATAGCGAGGGTGAAAAGGCGTTAGTGTTGACTGCAAATGACTGCTTGCGTGTTAGAAAGATTGTGGTAGCTGGTCTCATTAGAGTGTGGTAGCTGAGCTCACTAGATAGATTGTGGTAGCTGGGCTCAATAGATTGTGGTAGCTGGGCTCAATAGATAGATTGTGGTAGCTGGGCTCAGTAGATTGTGTTAGCTGGGCTCACTAGATAGATTGTGGTAGCTGGGCTCATTACATAGATTGTGGTAGCTGGGCTCATTACATAGACTGTGGTAGCTGGGCTCATTACATAGATTGTGGTAGCTGGGCTCATTACATAGATGTGGTAGCTGGCTCATTACATAGATTGTGGTAGCTGAGCTCATTACATAGATTGTGGTAGCTGGGCTCATTACATAGATTGTGGTAGCTGGGTTCATTACATAGACTGTGGTAGCTGGGCTCATTACATAGATTGTGGTAGCTGGGCTCATTACATAGAGTGTGGTAGCTGGGCTCATTACATAGATTGTGGTAGCTGGGCTCATTACATAGATTGTGGTAGCTGGGCTCACTAGATAGATTGTGGTAGCTGGGCTCATTACATAGATTGTGGTAGCTGGGCTCACTAGCTAGATTGTGGTAGCTGGGCTCATTACATAGACTGTGGTAGCTGGGCTCATTACATAGATTGTGGTAGCTGGGCTCACTAGATAGATTGTAGTAGCTGGGCTCACTAGATTGATTGTGGTAGCTGGGCTCATTACATAGATTGTGGTAGCTGGGCTCATTACATAGATTGTGGTAGCTGGGCTCATTACATAGATTGTGGTAGCTGGGCTCATTACATAGATTGTGGTAGATGGGCTCATTACATAGATTGTGGTAGCTGGGCTCATTACATAGATTGTGGTAGCTGGGCTCATTACATAGATTGTGGTAGCTGGGCTCATTACATAGATTGTGGTAGCTGGGCTCATTACATAGATTGTGGTAGCTGGGCTCATTACATAGACTGTGGTAGCTGGGCCTTACATAGAGTTGTAGCTAGGCTCATTACATAATTGTGGTAGCTGGGCTCACTAGATAGATTGTGGTAGCTGGGTCATTACATAAGATTTTTATGGCTCATTCATAGATTGTGGTAGCTGGGCTCATTATAGATTGTGGTAGATGGGCTCAAATTCATGATTGTGGTAGTTGCTCATTACCATACGATTGTGGTAGATGGCTCATTACATAGATTGTGGTAGCTGGGTCATTACAAGATTGGTAGCTGGGCTCATTACATAGATTGTGGTTTGCTGGTCATTACAAAAGATTGTGGTAGCTGGGCTCATTACATAAAATTGGGTAGTGGGCTCATTACATAGATTGTGGTAGCTGGCTCATTACATAGATTGTGGAGCTGGGCTCATTACATAGATTGTGGTAGCTGGCTCATACATAGATTGTGGTAGCTGGCTCATTACATAATTGTGGTAGCGGGCTCATTACTAGATTGGTAGCTGGGCTCATACTAGATTGTGGTAGCTGGGCTCATACATAGTTGTGGTAGATGGGCTCTTACATAGTTGTTAGATGGCTCATTACATAGATTGTTGGTAGATGGCTCATTACATAGATTGTGGAGTGGGCTCATTTACATAATTGTGGTAGTTGGCTCATTACATAGATTGTGGACTGGCTCATTACATAGATGTGGTAGAAAGGGCTCATTACATAGATTGTGGTTTGATGGCTCATTACATAGATTGTGGAGCTGGGCTCATTACATAGATTGGGAGGGGCTCATTAGATTTTATGGTGGCCTTCAACACTTCAACAATCTAATTACAATACTACACCAAGGGCATTAAAGAATTTATTACTTCAATTGAGAGATCCTGATCATGAAAGGCATTTTATAGCTCCAATTCCATGGATCATGATCACCATTTAAACAGCATAAGAATGGAAGAAATCCATTAAATATACCGTTACGTGGGAACAAGTCTGCAGAAATTCCCCCAATTAATAAATGATATATGTAGATACAATATATATATACTATAATATATATATATATATATTATAATATATATATATATATATATAATATATATATGAAGACCGCATATATTATTATATATTAATATAGTTTTATTATATAATATATATATATTAATATATATATATATATATATATGTTATATATTTAATTATGCGGTTGTCAGTGCTTATAGAAGGTAAACGTTCAAATTGGTGATGACCTAAACCATAGTATAAATAAATTTAACGTCTTCTGGGATATTATAACTGACTTACTGTCAAAAGTTTCAGTCGAACGCATTGTTTTAGCAAAAAAATAATTTTTTTTCGTTGCGAATAAAAGAATCAAGCTAATTGAAGAAATATATCAGACAGTCGTGTGTGTTTCGCTGACTGACACTCACGGATACTGTTCTTACATAAATACAGTAACAATGTGTGTTTTGACAGTCGTTTGTGCCACTATCAGTATCAGTGGAGGCGCCTGGTAGGAAGCGGGTTCGTGAGGAGGCGCCGTCACGTTCTACTGGGCACCTGAAGGCCAAATCCTAGGTGTACAAGTCACCTGGTTCATAATGTAAGTGGCAGGATTTATGTATCTTTGATGGTTTCCAAATTGCTCCTGACAGGAGGTTTGTAAACAAAAGAGAGAGACAGACAGACAGAAATACAGGCGAACAGCAGACTCAGATAAACCTTCCCCCTCTAATCTTTAGGGTAGGAACACCCTTCTAACCACCTCAACCTAATCAACTCCATGTTGTATAAAAATTCAACGTAACTCATGGCGTCAATTTCCGTGAAATTTGACGGTTTCTTAATATCTAAACAGCTCTTTATGTAAGGGTAACTCTTAAACGTAATTGAGTTGTTGAAGATTTAGAGTTTGCGGGTAGTGATGGGAGAGAGAATGAAGAATGCAATTTATAGGAGCCAAGACCGTGTGAGAGACACTAAAACAAGAGGGATAGCTTACTTCATGACGCAGATGAATGGAAGCAAGACTAGATATTCTCGATAACACGAATAAATCTAAATTGAATTTTAGCGAGGATTTGCCTCGGCGTGCTGTGGAGAAACATATCCACTCTTATAGTGGAAGTAGCACATTGCTGGGAGACAGAGTACATTATTTTGGACAGCGACCAGCTAGCAAGAAAATGGGTCAGCACACTAAAAGCCTTTCTTGGAAGATGAGGTGATCCCGAGGGGAAGATCGTGGGATAAGAACAGAGTATACTGTGAGAATGGAGTGGTGTATACAAATCATGGTTATCGTCGATCTGGGCAAAGAGCACTGTGAGAGGGAGAGTGTACGCTAATCACTGTTACTGAGTTATAGGTAGTTTTTGAAAGGGATTTACGAGGTCAATTTCTTTCTGTGTATGACAGCCCTGAGGTCAGGGAATGAGGGTACAATTCACAATAAAATTCACTTGCACGTTAGTAAATAGAATTATTACAGCTTATTGCTTGGGTAGTTTGTAGTCTGTTAGTGGGGTTGGATTTGTGAAGGACGTCCCTTAGCAGGGGCCCAAACAGGCCTCCTGCAGTGTTCCTCGTTTCTTATGTTCTTACAGGAGAAAAAAAACTTGTGACGACGTTTAATGATTACAGATTTAAATGTTATAAGTACGATTTTTTCTGTTTGTAAATCTAGAGTCATAAAATTATATTTTATCTATACTTATAAACAGAACTTCGATGTCTATGAAGAGATAATAGAACTTTATCACATACCTGGAGTACACCTGGAGAGGGTTTCAGGGATCAACGCCCCCTCCCCCATCCGCGGGCCCGGTCTGTGACCAGGGCCCAGGCCTGGATACTTTTTTCAATTCCCGGAAAGCTAAATAAGAACAGTGCAAAGTGACATGCAGAGAAAAAAAAAACACAGAATCGTATGTCAGGTCCTGGATGATGCTTACAGTAGTCCACTACAGTTGATCTACTGAAGAGAAGTGGTACTAACGAAGCAGTCGCTAAGTCAAACACTAAATATCACCATTGTTAGTGTACGCACCGTTTTCCCGGGGCAGATTGTAATAAACAATGCGTAAGGAAAACGTCAGAAATCAGGGCACAAAAAAGTTACAGAACTCACAGTATAAATAATGCGTGTGTCACTGCGACAAACACGCCATCTAATGGCTAGGGGTAAGTTAGGTAAGATTTGTCAGGAAACAGGATAAGTGTTTCCCGGCGCTGGTCTTAGTCATATGATGACCCGCAGCTGGAGCTTTTGGTCATCTGACTGAGGCCTACGTGGCTTACCCTCCACCCCTTTAAAATTATGGTTATATTATTAACCATTTAATATATATATATATATATATATATATATATTTTATATATATATATATATATATATTATATATATTATATGTGGGATTAAAAAGGCTTCAAGGAAGAATATCTGGATTTCTTCCTGAAGCCGTTTGAATATTCCACTTCCCCTACCACCCCATCTTTTCATTCTTTTACCAATAGGTAAAACAAAGATTCAGAATACACTGCCTGAAAGTAGCGAGCACTGGCACAACAGACACTGTAGCTAAGAGCCAAACTGTTGACACCCTGGCATACATCACATTACAGTGTAAAAAATCAGGCCCATAATTAAACGGAAATGCAAAAAGCTCGTAATTATGGAACAGTAGGCCAAGCATAGTGCTTCGCTGTTCTCATCATCAGGACCTGACATACGATCCGCTTTTTTTCCTTTCTCTACACTGGTGAAATGTTGTGCAATAAAGGTCTCCACTGTATTCATGTCTCTCTTTTATTACTAAATCAAGTTTTTTTTTCACCAAATCAAGGTTGCTCTCTACATTTTTCTTTCTACTGAAGGCTTTGGGAAGCCTTCCCAGTACAAACACGAAATGTTCCTATTAGGGCCATCTATCTGCTTTTCCTACAATGTAAGTTAAATGTATTGGAGTGTGTGGAGAGAGCCTTCTAATTATCACCTGTCCAGATATGATCTGTAGAAGTAGCACTTCACGCAAAAATTAATTTTTTTTGTCCAGGTGATAAGAATTTATGTAAATATATCTCTTGGTTCTGTGTTGTAGTCTAATACGTGGGTTGATGTAGAGGCGATTGGAAAGACATGATTTCCCATATAAAAGTTTGATATTCAATGATCTGGAACATCAAAGTGTAATGGAAACGTATCGATAAATTTAGGAAATCAATTTGAAAATACTGTAGAAGGACAACGTACGCGAAGTACAACTGAAGAGGGTCTCAGGCGGAGACCGAAATATGCAATCTCTTTTCACACACTTTTGCTGTCTCCATGTGTATTTCCTGAATACGTATTCAAATACATTGAGATTCACGGGCTATTACGCAGCGATCACCAACAGCCTGGCGAGGCAGTGCTAACGGACGGAGGATCGAACCTCCACCACAACTTGGGCTGAATGCTTCTATACAGCTCAAATACAAACAGGTTTGACCTTCACGTCAGCTTCAACTGCTGTATGAGTTATCACTTGGCACAATAATCTCACACAATTGACTGGTGTCACATCGCAAGCCTCCAATATAAAATTTCATACCTAAATTTCACTCCCCCTGTTCCGAAATAGCACCAAAAAAATCTGCAGTTCTCTCACTCGGTTCGAAAACCCACTTTTGGAGGGATTAATTAGGAAATTGTGTAAAAAAAATAAATTTGGAATAGAGTGATATTCGCGCTGCCGAGGGACTGAAATTAAAGAATAATAACGTTATCAACAAAGGACTAAATATTCGGTAGGCCAGTTAAATTATGTGTGATGGAGAGGGGAGGAAGAGAGAGAGAGAGAGAGAGAGAGAAAAGAAGAGAGAGAGAGAGAGAGAGAGAGAGAGAGAGAGGAGAGAGATACGGAGACAGAAATAGAAAGATTGATTTTGAGATAACAAGCTCTGACCACAGACAACACACATCACACACACCAATATCTCCCAGTAGTATTAAAAATAACTAGTCAGAGTCCTTTAAGACTGGAGCATTGGATACTGGATACTGGGGACGGCCTCTCGATCCGAGAAAAATGGAACAAACCCTTTCCCCATGGATAAAAAACTGAACCGCTCCCATTATCCCAGGCCACATAAGACCTCTACTGTATATTAAATATATATCTACAAATATATAATGGCAATTATGTAGTTAAAAATGCCGTTACGCATTCAGGAGCTGTGATTCGACCCTCGCAATTCGAGATTGGTGAGTACACTTCCCACACGGCCCTTCCTCCCTTGTAAATCAAACTCATTACATTCAAAATTATATTAGGTCTTGCTGTGGTTACGCATATTTCTCCCCTGCCTTGTTTCCTGAACTTTGTTACGTCAAACGTGCGTAACTGAACGTTCTAACCGCAATCAATTAAAAAAATGTTTAGTGGTGTTGTATAATGTGTTTTGCGAAGGACACTGAACTTGACATCTCGTACTGGTGGCGGTAGTGATGGTGGTAGTAGTAGTGGTAGTAGTAGTAGTAGTAGTAGTAGTGGAAATATAAACACAAATGCAGTATAATGTGATCCTTTATTGACAACGTTTCACCCACGCAGTGGGCTTTTTCAAGTCACACACGGATCTACCTGGGGTTGGAAGATACGGGAGTATTTATAGTTCAGAACGTTGAGGTCAGGTGAAGATTGCTGCATCAGATGATCTACCGGGGGTTAAGATATTTTTGGGGTAGAGGGGGCTCATTAAAAATTTTATGGTGGCCTTAAAACACTTCAAAATTCTAATTACAAATTACTACCCCAAGGGCATTAAAAAATTTTTTATTACTTCATTTGAGAGATCCTGATCCAGAAAGGCATTATAGCTCCAATTCCATGGATCATATCACCATAACCAGCTTTAAATGGAAAAATCCTTTTAAATATCCTTACTGGGGGAACAAGCTGAAAAATTTCCCAAAAATTTAATAAATGAAGTATATGTAATACAAAATATATAATAATATATATATATAAAATTTAATATATATATATTATATATATATATATATATGACAACCGCATATATTTTTTTTATTAAATATATTATATATTATAATATATATATAATATATATATATTATATATATTATATTATATATAATATATATGCGGTCTGTCAGTGCTTATAGAAGGTAAACGTTCAAATTGGTGATGACTAAACCATCAAGTATAAATAAATTTACGTCTTCTGAATATTCATAAGCTGACTTACTGTCAAAAAGTTTCAGTCGAACGCATTGTTTTTAGCAAAGAAATATATTTTCTTTTCGTTAGCGAATAAAAGAATCAAGCTAATGTGGAAGAAATATATCAACACAGTCGTGTGTGTTGCGCTGACTGACACTCACGGATACTGTTCTTTACATAAATACAGTAACAATGTGTGTTTTGACAGTCGTTCCTGTGGCCACTATCAGTATCAGTGGAGGCGCTGGTGGAGACGCTGGGGTTCGTGAGGGAGGCGCCGTCACGTTCACCTGTCACCTGAAGGCCAATCCTAAGGTGTACAACGTCACCTGGTTTCATAATGTAAGTGTGCAGGATTTATGTATCTTTGATGGTTTCCAAATTGCTCTGACAGGAGGTTTTGTAAACAGAAAGAGAGAGACAGACAGACAGAAATACAGGCGAACAGACAGACCTCAAGATAAACCTTCCCCCTCTAATCTTTAGGCTAGGAACACCCTTCTAACCACCTCAACCTCAATCAACTCCATGTTGTATAAATTCAACGTAACTCATGGCGTCAATTCCTCCGGTGGAAGACTTCGACTGGTTTCTTAATATCTAAGACAGCTCTTTTATGTAAGGTAACTCTTAAAAACGTAATTGAGTTGTTGAAGATTTAGAGTTTGCGGGTAGTGATGGGAGAGAGAATGAAGAATGCAATTTATAGGAGCCAAGACCGTGTGAGAGACACTAAAACAAGAGGGATAGCTTACTTCATGACGCAGATGAATGGAAGCAAGACTAGATATTCTCGATAACACGAATAAATCTAAATTGAATTTTAGCGAGGATAGCCTCGGCGTGCTGTGGAGAAACATATCCACTCTTAAAGTGGAAGTAGCACATTGCTGGGAGACAGTACATTATTTTGGACAGCGACCAGCTAGCAAGAAAATGGGTCAGCACACTAAAAGCCTTTCTTGGAAGATGAGGTGATCCCGAGGGGAAGATCGTGGGATAGAAAAGAGTATACTGTGAGATGGAGTGTGTATACAAATCATGGTTATCGTCGATCTGGGCAAAGAGCACTGTGAGAGGGAGAGTGTACGCTAATCACTGTTACTGAGTTATAGGTAGTTTTTAAAAGGGATTTACGAGGTCAATTTCTTTCTGTGTATGACAGCCTTGAGGTCAGGGAATGAGGGTACAATTCACAATAAAATTCACTTGCACGTTAGTAAATAGAATTATTACAGCTTATTGCTTGGGTAGTTTGTAGTCTGTCAGTGGGTTGGATTTGTGAAGGATGTGCCTAGCATGGGCCAACAGGCCTCCTGCAGTGTTCCTCGTTTCTTATGTTCTTACAGGAGAAAAAAACTTGTGACGACGTTTAATGATTACAGATTTAAATGTTATAAGTAGGATTTTTTCTGTTTGTAAATCTAGAGTCATAAAATTATATTTTATCTATACTTATAAACAGAACTTCGATGTCTATGAAAACATAATAGAACTTTATCACATACCTGGAGTACACCTGGAGAGGGTTTCAGGGATCAACGCCCCCCCCCCCTCATCCGCAGCCAGGTCTGTGACCAGGCCTAGGCCTGGATATTTTTGCAATTCCTGGAAAGCTAAATAAGAACAGTGCAAAGTGACATGCAGAGAAAAATAAAACACAGAATCGTATGTCAGGTCCTGGTGATGCTTACAGTAGTCCACTACAGTTGATCTACTGAAGAGAAGTGGTACTAACGAAGCAGTCGCTAAGTCAAACACTAAATATCACCATTGTTAGTGTACGCACCGTTCCAGGCGCAGACTGTAATAAACAATGCGTAAGGAAAACGTCAGAAATCAGGAGCACCAGAAGAGTTACAGAACTCACAGCATAAATAATGCGTGTGTCACTGCGACAAACACGCACACCTAATGGCTAGGGTAAGTTAGGTAAGATTTGTCAGGAAACAGGATAAGTGTTTCCTGGCGCTGGTCTTAGTCATATGATGACCCGCAGCTGGAGCTTTTGGTCATCTGACTGAGGCCTACGCTGGCTTACCCCTCCACCCCTTTAAAAATTATGGTTATCATTATAACCATTTAATATATATATATATATATATATATATATATATATATATATATATATATATATATATATATATATAATATATATATATATAATATATTAATTAATTATATATATATAAGTGGATAAAAAGGCTTCAAGGAAGAATATCTGGATTTCTTCCTGAAGCCGTTTGAATATTCCACTTCCCCTACCACCCCATCTTTTCATTCTTTTACCAATAGGTAAAACAAAGATTCAGAATACACTGCCTGAAAGTAGCGAGCACTGGCACAACAGACACTGTAGCTAAGAGCCAAACTGTTGACACCCTGGCATACATCACATTACAGTGTAAAAAATCAGGCCCATAATTAAACGGAAATGCAAAAAGCTCGTAATTATGGAACAGTAGGCCAAGCATAGTGCTTCGCTGTTCTCATCATCAGGACCTGACATACGATCCGCTTTTTTTCCTTTCTCTACACTGGTGAAATGTTGTGCAATAAAGGTCTCCACTGTATTCATGTCTCTCTTTTATTACTAAATCAAGTTTTTTTTTCACCAAATCAAGGTTGCTCTCTACATTTTTCTTTCTACTGAAGGCTTTGGGAAGCCTTCCCAGTACAAACACGAAATGTTCCTATTAGGGCCATCTATCTGCTTTTCCTACAAACAATGTAAGTTAAATGTATTGGAGTGTGTGGAGAGAGCCTTCTAATTATCACCTGTCCAGATATGATCTGTAGAAGTAGCACTTCACGCAAAAATTTATTTTTTTGTCCAGGTGATAAGAATTTATGTAAATATATCTCTTGGTTCTGTGTTGTAGTCTAATACGTGGGTTGATGTAGAGGCGATTGGAAAGACATAATTTCCCATATAAAAGTTTGATATTCAATGATCTGGAACATCAAAGTGTAATGGAAACGTATCGATAAATTTAGGAAATCCATTTGAAAATACTGTAGAAGGACAACGTACGCGAAGTACAACTGAAGAGGGTCTCAGACGAAGATCGAAATATGCAATCTCTTTTCACACACTTTTGCTGTCTCCATGTGTATTTCCTGAATACGTATTCAAATACATTGAGATTGAACATTAAAATGAATTATGAAACGTTTCGCCTACTGTGTAGGCGAAACGTTTCATAATAAAGATACCTAACTGTTGCATATGTGTCTTACCTAACACTACATTGAGATTCACGGGCTATTACGCAGCGATCACCAACAGCCTGGCGAGGCAGTGCTAACGGACGGAGGATCGAACCTCCACCACAACTTGGGCTGTATGCTTCCATACAGCTCAAATGCAAACAGGTTTGACCTTCACGTCAGCTTCAACTGCTGTATGAGTTATCACTTGGCACAATAATCTCACACAATTGACTGGTGTCACATCGCAAGCCTCCAATATAAATTTCATACCTAAATTTCACTCTCCCCTGTTCCGAAATAGCACCAAAAAATCTGCAGTTCTCTCTCTCGGTTCGAAAACCCACTTTTGGAGGGATTAATTAGGAAATTGTGTAAAAAAATATTAGGAATAGAGTGATATTCGCGCTGCCGAGGGACTGAAATTAAAGAATAATAACGTTATCAACAAAGGACTAAATATCGGTAGGCCAGTTAAATTATGTGTGATGGAGAGAGAGAGAGAGAGATACGGAGACAGAAATAGAAAGATTGATTTAGAGATAACAAGCTCTGGACCACAGACAACACACATCACACACACCAATATCTCCCAGTGGTATTAAAAATAATTAGTCTGAGTCCTTTAAGACTGGAGCCTGGATACTGGATACTGGTGACGGCCTCTCGATCCGAGAAACTGGAACACCCTTTCCCCATGGATAGAAACTGAACCGCTCCCATTATCCCAGGCACAATAAGACCTCTACTGTATATTATATATATATCTACAAATATATAATGGCAATTATGTAGTTAAAAATGCCGTTACGCATTCAGGAGCTGTGATTCGACCCTCGCAATTCGAGCTTGGTGAGTACACTTCCCCACACGGCCCTTCCTTCCTTGTAAATCAAACTCTTTACATTCAAAATTATATTAGGTCTTGCTGTGGTTACGCATATTTCTCCCCTGCCTTGTTTCCTGAACTTTGTTACGTCAAACGTGCGTAACTGAACGTTCTAAACGCAATCAATTAAAAAAATGTTTAGTGGTGCTGTATGATGTGTTTTGCGAAGGACACTGAACTTGACATCTCGTAGTGGTGGCGGTAGTGATGGTGGTAGTAGTAGTGGTAGTAGTAGTAGTAGTGGTGGTGGTGGTTGTAGGGGTGGAGGTAGTGGTGGTAGTAGTGGTAGTAGGGGTGGTGGTGGAGGTAGTGGTGGTAGTAGTGCTAGTAGGGGTAGTGGTGGAGGTAGTGGTGGTGGTAGTGGTAGAAGGGGTGGTGGTGGAGGTAGTGGTGGTAGTAGTGGTAGTAGGGGTAGTGGTGGAAGTAGTGGTAGTAGTAGTGGTAGTAGGGGTGGTGGTGGAGGTAGTGGTGGTAGTAGTGGTAGAAGGGGTGGTGGTGGAGGTAGTGGTGGTAGTAGTGGTAGTAGGGGTGGTGGTGGAAGTAGTGGTAGTAGGGGTGGTGGTGGAGGTAGTGGTGGTAGTGGTCGTAGTAGTGGTAGAAGGGGTGTGTTGGAGGTATTGGTGGTAGTAGTGGTAGTAGGGGTGGGGTGGAAGTAGTGGTAGTAGGGGTGGTGGTGGAGGTAGTGGTGGTAGTAGTGGTAGAAGGGTGGTGGTGGAGGTAGTGGTGGAAGTAGTGGTAGTAGGGGTGGTGGTGGAGGTAGTGGTGGTAGTGGTCGTAGTAGTGGTAGAAGGGGGTGTTGGAGGTATTGGTGGTAGTAGTGGTAGTAGGGGTGGGGGTGGAAGTAGTGGTAGTAGGGTGGTGGTGGAGGTAGTGGTGGTAGTAGTGGTAGAAGGGGTGGTGGTGGAGGTAGTGGTGGAAGTAGTGTAGTAGGGTGGTGGTGGAGGTAGTGGTGGTAGTAGTGGTAGTAGGGGTGGTGGTAGTAGTAGTGGTAGTAGGGGTGGTGGTAGTAGTAGTGGTAGTAGGGGTGGTGGTGGAGGTAGTGGTGGTAGCAGTAGTAGTGGTGGTGGGGAAGGAAGGAGATCAAATCTACAAAAATTAAACTTTTTGTTCCCGGTGTGGTAATAATTGCTGAGGTAATGGTAATACTGGCGATGATAGTGCCACTGGTGATAGTAGATAATAGTGCCACTGGTGATAGATGATAGTGCCACTGGTGATAGTAGATGATAGTGACACTGGTGACAGTAGATGATAATGACATCGGTGATAGTAGATGATAGTGACACTGGTGATAGTAGATAATAGTGCCACTGGTGATAGATGATAGTGCCACTGGTGATAGTAGATGATAGTGCCACTGGTGATAGTAGATAATAGTGCCACTGGTGATAGATGATAGTGCCACTGGTGATAGTAGATAATAGTGCCACTGGTGATAGATGATAGTGCCACTGGTGATAGTAGATGATAGTGACACTGGTGACAGTAGATGATAATGACATCGGTGATAGTAGATGATAGTGACACTGGTGATAGATGATAGTGACACCGGTGATAGTAGATGATAGTGACACCGGTGATAGTAGATGATAGTGACACTGGTGATAGATGATAGTGACACTGGTGATAGTAGATAATAGTGCCACTGGTGATAGATGATAGTGCCACTGGTGATAGTAGATGATAGTGACACTGGTGATAGATGATAGTGACACTGGTGATAGTAGATAATAGTGCCACTGGTGATAGATGATAGTGCCACTGGTGATAGTAGATAATAGTGCCACTGGTGATAGATGATAGTGCCACTGGTGATAGTTGATGATAGTGACACTGGTGACAGTAGATGATAATGACATCGGTGATAGTAGATGATAGTGACACTGGTGATAGATGATAGTGACACCGGTGATAGTAGATGATAGTGACACCGGTGATAGTAGATGATAGTGACACTGGTGATAGATGATAGTGACATCGGTAATAGTAGATGATAGCGACACTGGTGATTGTAGATGATAGCGACACTTGTGATTGTAGATGATAGTGACACTGGTGATAGATGATAGTGACATCGGTAATAGTAGATGATAGCGACACTGGTGATTGTAGATGATAGCGACACTTGTGATTGTAGATGATAGTGACACTGGAATAGTAGATAGTGACACTGGTGATAGTAGATGATGGTGACACTGGTGATAGTAGATGATAGTGACACTGGTGATAGTAGATGATAGCGACAATTGTGATTGTAGATGATAGTGACACTGGAATAGTAGACAGCGACACTGGTGATAGTAGATGATAGTGACACTGGTGATAGTAGATGATAGTGACACTGGTGATAGTAGATGATAATGACACTGATGATAGTAGATGATAGTGACACTGGTGATTTTAGATGATAGTGACTCTGGTATAGTAGATGATATCGACACTGGTGAGAGTAGATAGTGACATTGGTGATAGTAGATGATAGTGACACTGGTGATAGATGATAGTGACACTGGTGATAGATGATAGTGACACCGGTGGTAGTAGATGACAGTGACACCGGTGATAGTAGATGACAGTGACACCGGTGATAGTAGATGACAGTGACACTGGTGATAATAGATGATAGTGACACTGGTGATAGTAAATGATAGTGACACTGGTGATAGATGATAGTGACACTGGTGATAGATGATAGTGACACTGGTGATAGATGATAGTGACACTGGTGATAGATGATAGTGACACTGGTGATAGTAGATGATAGTGACACTGGTGATAGTAGATTATAGTGACACTGGTGATAGTAGATTATAGTGACACTGGTGATAGTAGATTATAGTGACACTGGTGATAGTAGATTATAGTGACACTGGTGATAGTAGATGATAGTGACACTGGTATAGTAGATAACAATAATAATGTTGATAGTACATATAAATTCGCCCTATTTTTGCCCAACACTATTTTCGTCTAGAATAGAGAAACACAGAACCCAGCTACCTTCTCCTAGTCAACCCATGACAACCTCGCGACTACATGTCTCCAACAACAAAGTCATGCTCTGACGATCCTTCCCCGAGGCAGAAAGGCAATACCTCTTTAATTAATGGTATCGCCAGGGTGCCTCTCGTTCGCCAGATTTTATTAATTTCGTCACTGGGGGTAGGTACATCATGGGCCTGCTGGCACGAGAGCTCAAGCAGAGGGTCACAGCACCGAGGGAGGATTCTTTCACCCGTGGATCGATTAGTCTTCATTAGCCGCCTCGGGAGTATTTCTAGCTAAATATAATTTGAAATTCGTGTATTATTATATTAGATGCTCGAAAAACCTTGAATATAATTGATGTATCTTTAAAGACGATTGAGCTTCAAGATAATAGATTATAATTTAATACTCTATTAAATTAGGTCAGGTAAGTTCTGTTAGGAAACAGGACAAGCGTTTCCCGACGTGGGTCTTAGTCATACGATGACCCACCGCTGGAGATCTTTTGGTCATCTGACCGAGGCCTTCCACTGGCTTACCGGTCAACCCTCTTTAAAATTTAGGTTTTTAAGTTAAATGTCTTAAGAAAATGCAAATCTTTCCCCCACTTGTTATGAACTGGTGTGTTTTATGGAGACGTTTCACCATCTAGTAGCATTATTAATCCACTATAGAGAATACACAGTGGAAGATGCAAAGAGCTGATTATCATTTTTCACGGGAAAAACATCAAAACGTGAAAATGTATTGTTTTGTCCCAGTAATTCTTAATTTTTAGTATGAAAGGGCCAATTTGAAGAACCAAATTTAAAGAAGGGTCACATTTTTTTTTGTTTTGTTTTTTTGCAATTTTTGTGAATAATAGCAATAATATTTTGTGGAGTGTGGAACCTACGTAAGAGTGAATTCATAATTTCATGCGAAGGCCGCATATATTTCCTAGAAGGGCCACATGCGGCCCTCGGGCCGCAGGTTGGGGACCACTGCACTAGACCCATAGAATAACTACGGTCACCTTTTACCTCCCTACTCCCACAGTGTAACTTCCACTATCCTACTCCCACAGTGTAACTTCCACTATCCTACTCCCACAGTGTAACTTCCACTATCCTACTCCCACAGTGTAACTTCCACTATCCTACTCCCACAGTGTAACTTCCACTATCCTACTCCCACAGTGTAACTTCCACTATCCTACTCCCACAGTGTAACTTCCACTATCCTACTCCCACAGTGTAACTTCCACTATCCTACTCCCACAGTGTGACTTCCATTATCCTACTCCCACAGTGTAACTTCCACTATCCTACTCCCACAGTGTAACTTCCATTATCCTACTCCCACAGTGTGACTTCCACTATCCTACTCCCACAGTGTAACTTCCACTATCCTACTCCCACAGTGTAACTTCCACTATCCTACTCCCACAGTGTGACTTCCATTATCCTACTCCCACAGTGTGACTTCCATTATCCTACTCCCACAGTGTGACTTCTACTATCCTACTCCCACAGTGTGACTTCCATTACCCTACTCCCACAGTGTGACTTCCACTATCCTACTCCCACAGTGTGACTTCCACTATCCTACTCCCACAGTGTGACTTCCACTATCCTACTCTCACAGTGTGACTTCCATTCTCCTACTCTCACAGTGTGACTTCCACTATCCTACTCCCACAGTGTGACTTCCACTATCCTACTCCCACAGTGTGACTTCCACTATCCTACTCCCACAGTGTGACTTCCATTATCCTACCCCCACAGTGTGACTTCCACTATCCTACTCCCACAGTGTGACTTCCACTATCCTACTCCCACAGTGTGACTTCCACTATCCTACTCCCACAGTGTGACTTCCACTATCCTACTCCCACAGTGTGACTTCCACTATCCTATTCTCACAGTGTAACTTCCACTATCTTACTCCCACATGTGACTTTCCACTATCCTACTCCCACAGTGTGACTTCCACTATCCTATTCTCACAGTGTAACTTCCACTATCTTACTCCCACAGTGTGACTTCCATTATCCTACTCTCACAGTGTGACTTCCATTATCCTACTCCCACAGTGTGACTTCCATTATCCTACTCCCACAGTGTGACTTCCATTATCCTACCCCCACAGTGTGACTTCTATTATCCTACTCCCACAGTGTGACTTCCACTATCCTACTCCAACAGTGTGACTTCCATTATCCTACTCCCACAGTGTGACTTCCATTATCCTACCCCCACAGTGTGACTTCCACTATCCTACTCCCACAGTGTGACTTCCACTATCCTACTCCCACAGTGTGACTTCCACTATCCTACTCCCACAGTGTGACTTCCACTATCCTACTCCCACAGTGTGACTTCCACTATCCTATTCTCACAGTGTAACTTCCACTATCTTACTCCCACAGTGTGACTTCCACTATCCTACTCCCACAGTGTGACTTCCACTATCCTATTCTCACAGTGTAACTTCCACTATCTTACTCCCACAGTGTGACTTCCATTATCCTACTCTCACAGTGTGACTTCCATTATCCTACTCCCACAGTGTGACTTCCATTATCCTACTCCCACAGTGTGACTTCCATTATCCTACCCCCACAGTGTGACTTCTATTATCCTACTCCCACAGTGTGACTTCCACTATCCTACTCCAACAGTGTGACTTCCATTATCCTACTCCCACAGTGTGACTTCCACTATCTTACTCCCACAGTGTGACTTCCACTATCTTACTCCCACAGTGTTACTTCCACTATCTTACTCCCATAGTGTGACTTCCACTATCTTACTCCCACAGTGTTACTTCCACTATCTTACTCCCATAGTGTGACTTCCACTATCTTACTCCCACAGTGTGACTTCCAATATTTTTTCATCCCCCCTCACAGGGTGATTCACAACGCTCTGTATCCTCATTATAACTCCTACCACCCAGAGTGACTACAACCACTCTCCTCCCACAGTAAATGCTATTTCCACCTACAGAAATGTCAGTATCTATTTCTCTCTCTCTCTCTCTCTCTACCCAATTAATCTAGCATTTTCCTGATCTGGGTTACAGGGACGCCCTCTACGACGGCAGGACTGGGGCAAACAGATGACCAACACCACCCTCAGACTTCGTAACGTGACGGCGGCGATGCGAGGTCTATACACCTGTGTGGGCAGCAACCTGGAGGGTGACGGCCAGAGCAACGCTGTCAACCTTAACGTTGAGTGTGAGTATTATCATTCCCTCAGGATGAAAATTTACTACTACTGATGTAAGCGATCAAGAATTCAGTCTCCAATGTGACTTCATATCTACACCATAGTATGAAATTCTAGCATTACAACACACACACAAACTTATATATATATATATATATATATTATATATATATATATATTATTTTTTTTATTATCACACTGGCCGATTCCCACCAAGGCAGGGTGGCCCGAAAAAGAAGAATTTTCACCATCATTCACTCCATCACTGTCTTGCCAAAGGGTGCTTTACACTACAGTTTTTAAACTGCAACATTAACAACCCCTCCTTCAGAGTGCAGGCACTGTACTTCCCATCTCCAGGACTCAAGTCCGCCTGCCGGTTTCCCTGAACCCCTTCATAAATGTTACTTTGCTCACACTCCAACAGCACGTCAAGTATTAAAAACCATTTGTCTCCATTCACTCCTATCAAACACGCTCACGCATGCCTGCTGGAAGTCCAAGCCCCTCGCACACAAAAAGTCCTTTACCCCCTCCCTCCAACCTTTCCTAGGCCGACCCCTACCCCGCCTTCCTTCCACTACAGACTGATACACTCTTGAAGTCATTCTGTTTCGCTCCATTCTCTCTACATGTCCGAACCACCTCAACAACCCTTCCTCAGCCCTCTGGACAACAGTTTTGGTAATCCCGCACTTCCTCCTAACTTCCAAACTACGAATTCTCTGCATTATATTCACACCACACATTGCTCTCAGACATGACATCTCCACTGCCTCCAGCCTTCTCCTCGCTGCAACATTCATCACCCATGCTTCACACCCATATAAGAGCGTTGGTAAAACTATACTCTCATACATTCCCCTCTTTGCCTCCAAGGACAAAGTTCTTTGTCTCCACAGACTCCTAAGTGCACCACTCACCCTTTTCTCCCTCATCACTTCTATGATTCACCTCATCTTTCATAGACCCATCCGCTGACACGTCCACTCCCAAATATCTGAATACATTCACCTCCTCCATACTCTCTCCCTCCAATCTGATATCCAATCTTTCATCACCTAATCTTTTTGTTATCCTCATAACCTTACTCTTTCCTGTATTCACCTTTAATTTTCTTCTTTTGCACACCCTACCAAATTCATCCACCAATCTCTGCAACTTCTCTTCAGAATCTCCCAAGAGCACAGTGTCATCAGCAAAGAGCAACTGTGACAACTCGCACTTTGTGTGTGATTCTTTATCTTTTAACTCCACGCCTCTTGCCAAGACCCTCGCATTCACTTCTCTTACAACCCCATCTATAAATATATTAAACAACCACGGTGACATCACACATCCTTGTCTAAGGCCTACTTTTACTGGAAATAATTTCCCTCTTTCCTACATACTCTAACTTGAGCCTCACTATCCTCGTAAAAACTCTTCACTGCTTTCAGTAACCTACCTCCTACACCATACACCTGCAACATCTGCCACATTGCCCCCCCTATCCACCCTGTCATACGCCTTTTCCAAATCCATAAATGCCACAAAGACCTCTTTAGCCTTATCTAAATACTGTTCACTTATATGTTTCACTGTAAACACCTGGTCCACACACCCCCTACCTTTCCTAAAGCCTCCTTGTTCATCTGCTATCCTATTCACCGTCTTGCTCTTAATTCTTTCAATAATAACTCTACCATACACTTTACCAGGTATACTCAACAGACTTATCCCCCTATAATTTTTGCACTCTCTTTATCCCCTTTGCCTTTATACAAAGGAACTATGCATGCCTCTGCCAATCCCTAGGTACCTTACCCTCTTCCATACATTTTTTTAAATAATTGCACCCAACCACTCCAAAACTATATCCCCACCTGCTTTTAACATTTCATCTTTATCCCATCATTCCCGGCTGCCTTTATTATATATATTATAAAATATATAATATAATATATATATATATATATATATATATATATATATATTCAATAACACAGCGCTAGCCAAGGATTCGAAGCCATGTTGTACTGGCCGCCTCATGGTAAGCGAGAACCACATGACACTTTCGCTTTAAACCACAGGACTACCCAACCCTACAGAATGGCGCAGCCAGCAGGCCAGTACAACATGGGTTCGAATCCTATGCTAGCGCAGTGTTGTTATTGATCAATACCACTCGTCCGCGGTTACAATAATATATATATATATATATTATATATATATATATATATATATATATATATATATATATATAGTAGGTTGGTAGACAGCAACCACCCAGGGAAGTACTACCGTCCTGCCAATGACTGTGAAACAAAAACCTGTAACTGTTTTGCATGATGGTAGGATTGCTGGTTTCTTTTTCTGTCTCATAAACACGCTAAGATAACAGGGATATCTTGCTACTCCTACTTACACTTTGGTCACACTTCACAGACACGCACATGCATAATATATATACATACATCTAGGTTTTTCTCTTTTTTCTAAATACTCTTGTTCTTTTTTATTTTTTTCTATTGTCCAGGGGGAAGTGGAAAAGAATCTTTCCCCCGTAAGCCATGCGTGTCGAAAGGGGGCGACAAAATCCGGAGCAATGGGCAGAAACCCCCCTTCTCCGTATAAATTACAAAAAAGAGAAAGAAAAACTTTAAAAAACTGGTTGCTTAATGTGCCGTGGATGTAGTGCGGATGACAAGAAACAGATGATTGCTGATGTTATGAATGAAAAAAGTTGGATGTCCTGGCCCTAAGCGAAACAAAGCTGAAGGGGTAGGAGAGTTTCAGTGGGGGAAATAAATGGGATTAAATCTGGAGTATCTGAGAGAGTTAGAGCAAAGGAAGGGGTAGCAGTAATGTTAAATGATCATTATGGAAGAGAAAAGAGAATATGAATGGAAAAATTCAAGAATTAGTGGATTAAAGTAAAGGTTGGATGCGAGAAGTGGTCATAAAAGCGTGTATGCACCTGGAGAAAGAGGAATGCAGAGGAGAGAGAGAGATTTTGGGAGATGTTAAGTGAATGTATAGGAGCCTTTGAACCAAGTAAAGAGAGTAATTGGGGTTTAGGGGACTTGAATGCAAAAGTAGGAGAAACTTTAGAGAGGGTGTGGTAGGTAATTTGGGTGGCCAGGTGTAAATGATTTAATGGGAGCCCTTGATTGAACTTTTAAAAGAAAGGGGTTTTAGTTATAGGTAATACATATTTTAAGAAAAAGAGGATAAATAAGTATACACGATAGATGTAGGGCGAAATGAAAAGTAGTTTGTTGGATTATGTATTGGTAATAAAGACTGTTGAGTGACTTCAGGATGTACATGTTTATAGAGGGCCACAGATATATCAGATCACTTTCTAGTTTTTAAACTATACTGAGAGTAAAAAGGTAGATGGGATACAAGGAAATAGAAGCATCAGGGAAGAGAGAGGTGAAGGGTTTATAAACTAAAAGAGGAGGCAGTTAGGGTAAGATATAAACAGCTATTGGAGGATAGATGGGCTAATGAGAGCATAGGCAATGGGGTCGAAGAGGTATGGGGTAGGTTTAAAAATGTAGTGTTAGAGTGTTCAGCAGAAGTTTGTGGTTACAGGAAAGTGGGTGCAGGAGGGAAGAGGAGCGATTGGTGGAATGATATGTAAAGAGAGTAGTAAGGTGAGAAAAAGTTAGCATATGAGAAGTTTTTACAAAGTAGAAGTGATGCAAGGAGGAAGAGTATATGGAGAAAAAGAGAGAAGTTAAGAGAGTGGTGAAGCAATGTAAAAAGAGAGCAAATGAGAGAGTGGGTGAGATGTTATCAACAAATTTTGTTGAAAATAAGAAAAAGTTTTGGAGTGAGATTAACAAGTTAAGAAAGCCTAGAGAACAAATGGATTTGTCAGTTAAAAATAGGAGAGGAGAGTTATTAAATGGAGAGTTAGAGGTATTGGGAAGATGGAAGGAATATTTTTGAGGAATTGTTAAATGTTGATGAAGATAGGGAAGCTGTGATTTCGTGTAAGGGCAAGGAGGAATAACATCTTGTAGGAGTGAGGAAGAGCCAGTTGTGAGTGTGGGGGGAAGTTCGTGAGGCAAATAGGTAAAATGAAAGGGGGTAAGGCAGCCGGGATATGATGGATAAAGATAGAAATGTTTAAAAGCAGGTGGGGATATAGTTTTGGAGTGGTTGGTGCAATTATTTAATAAATGTATGGAAGAGGGTAAGGTACCTAGGGATTGGCAGAGAGCATGCATAGTTTCCTTTGTATAAAGGCAAAGGGGATAAAAGAGAGTGCAAAAATTATAGGGGGATAAGTCTGTTGAGTGTACCTGGTAAAGTGTATGGTAGAGTTATAATTGAAAGAATTAAGAGTAAGACGGAGAATAGGATAGCAGATGAACAAGGAGGCTTTAGGAAAGGTAGGGGTGTGTGGATCAGGTGTTTACAGTGAAACATATAAGTGAACAGTATTTAGATAAGGCTAAAGAGGTCTTTGTGGCATTTATGGATTTGGAAAAGGCGTATGACAGGGTGGATAGGGGGCAATGTGGCAGATGTTGCAAGTGTATGGTGTAGGAGGTAGGTTACTGAAAGCAGTGAAAGAGTTTTTACGAGGATAGTGAGGCTCAAGTTAGAGTATGTAGGAAAGAGGGAAATTTTTTCCCAGTAAAAGTAGGCCTTAGACAAGGATGTGTGATGTCACCGTGGTTGTTAATATATTTATAGATGGGTTGTAAGAGAAGTAAATGCGAGGGTTTTGGCAAGAGCGTGGAGTTAAAAGATAAGGAATCACACACAAAGTGGGATGTTGTCACAGCTGCTCTTTGCTGATGACACTGTGCTCTTGGGAGATTCTGAAGAGAAGTTGCAGAGATTGGTGGATGAATTTGGTAGGGTGTGCAAAAGAAGAAAATTAAAGGTGAATACAGGAAAGAGTAAGGTTATGAGGATAACAAAAAGATTAGGTGATGAAAGATTGAATATCAGATTGGAGGGAGAGAGTATGGAGGAGGTGAACGTATTCAGATATTTGGGAGTG